AGTGATTTTTATTAAAAAAAAAATACTTTTTAACCCATAGGTGGAGAGAAAATACGGATTCACATATGTCTCAAGGGTATTTGCGCGTAAATAAATATAACGCACTTGACTGGTATTCGAACTTGACACTCTGATTTCTCATTCTGCGCCGTTATACATTACACTACAAGCACATCCAATATGAGACTTTGTCATATTGATAAAGATGGATAAAGTCGATGAGACCGTGTGTGTCTGTGTCTGTGTAAAAGAGAGAGAGAGAGAGAGAGAGAGAGAGAGAGAGAGGGGGGGTAAAGTGGGGGTAAAGCAGAAAACATTTGAGTAAAAAAAGAAAGTGCTAGAAAGAAAGAGATTAGGCAAAAAAAAAGTATGAAAGAAAAAAAGCGATTTATCTTGAACGTAACAGATCTGGAGAAAACATTGCGATTCGAAGAAATTACCATTCAATCACTCTGTCTGTTTGCTACATTACATTTGCAACCCTCGTTACGACAGACAAAATCGACGCCCAACTTCCTTGGCGAGAATAAAAAAGACAAAAAAAAAAATCTTTTCCTTCCGATTCATCAATCATGTGAATTTACTGATTCGTCTATAATTTTTTCTGTAAGTTCACATGCTACTTTTTAGGTTCGAAAGTTTCTTCAATTCATATTTTTTCAATTTCTTAGGTCTTGGACTCAGATCTTTTTCCGACACTTTCATGCATCGCCATGTTGACGATCTGCTGTGATGGTTCCGATTGGTTCTAAAGCTTGTAATAAATGGAACTTACAAATTACAATGACGATTCACTGGCGAACGTGAAGCTTTTATTTAGATATCGACATAGATTTTTAGTCCAGAATCCCAAATTCTTCCAACAAGGAGTAAGAAAGTTGCTTTTACTGTGGGAGGCTTGATTATTTACCGGATAAATTGTTTTAACTTGATTCACATGGAAAATATATTTTCGATTTCGACTTCAAAATACGACCATACTTCTCTAAAAATTAAAATATTCTAATAATAAGAATTATATAGCTCTTTCTTATCGGTCGACGACATTTCAAGTTTCATATACATAGCAAATGCCAAGTTCGAGAACACTTTTATTACTACAAGCACTCACTGTGCGCAATTATATATATATATATATATATATATATATATATATATATATATATATATATATATATATATATATCACGGATTTAATATATTTTATATGCCTTATGAATTTAAGCGCAGTACTAAATTGGTAGCAAGGTCTCACCATTTTACAGTAGAAATGACTAGATTTAACTGTAAGTTCTATGCTAACAGTTTCTTCTATCGCACTTCTCGCTTGTGGAACTCACTTCTGGCTTCTTGATTCTCATTCATTCAACGTCAAAAATTTAAATTCAATGCCAATCTTTATCTTCTGTCTTAATTCTTATTTCTCTCTCTCCTTAATAGTTTTTTATTCCCATATTCTCTAACATTCTTAGTGGCTTTATTGCCCTGCTCAGGGATGAAATGATTATATATATATATATATATATATATATATATGGTATGTGGTGCAGTTCAATTTACATTACATGAATCATTCATACAAAAAAAACAGATATAGAATCATTTAAATCATTAACTTCTATATGTTTTTTGTATGAATGATTCATGTAATATATATATATATATATATATATATATATATATATATATATATATATACCTTTCCATTATTATTATTCTTTTTTTTTCATATTTTTTACAATGAAGCATGTCCCAGTTTACATGTAAGTACTTCATATGACATTATCTATTCAACAAAGTCTTTCCTTGCAGATTGACCACAGATTCTTGATTTAAGTCCGGAGACTTTTCGAGCAAGTCGATAGTACTTTGATTTGCTAAATGGTAAGGCTTGCCATTCTGTTTGCGCAGCGTTAGAATTTTCGTACGCTTTCTTCGATTAACGTCCATCGCAGACAATAGGTGTAGGGCAACTAATCGACAGTCGAGACAATAGTGTCTGGGCGTGATGAAAATCTCATTCAATCTTGAATGACGCAATAATTTTCAAGGCCCAAAAAATTTCATCATACATCCCGAAAATATATTGATATTATTGCGCACCACTGAAAATTACTGTATGAAAATTATTGTATGGTGAAAGAAATAAATTAAAGGATTTGTTTCAATATAATTTGAACAAGGATGCATATATATATATATATATATATATATATATATATATATATATATATATATATATATATATATATGAACTAAAGAACAGATCAGTTATTCAGGATGATAAAATAAAGAACAAATAGGAAGTTTCAATTTTATTAAAGCTTCATCAGATATTGAGAGAAAACAGACAAAAAGACAGAAACCGAGCCCTTAGGATATGCAGGCAAGAATAGGGAAATGAAGAAGAGAAATATATTGAGAACACTTTTAAACTTCTCCACTACTTACATCATTTTATCCTTGACACTAAAAAAATGAGCTTATAAAATCCGCCAAACCAAAAACACAGACACCACAAATAAAACATCTAATCCTTAATATGTATATCTTATTCATAAAAGCAATTAAAAAAAAATTAATTTCTTCCAATAATATGTGGAAATAACGACTCTTTGCCTGATGAAGTTCGCGAGACCGGAAACACATGTAGCAAAAAAAAATATGTAAAATAAAGTATAATACATATTTAAAAAATCCACATTATAACCAGAAACGTTTGCGGCGCCCTGCTTCACTTTAATTATATATATATATAT